CATTGACAATAGATGTTAACTTGTTTGGCGAAGGACCCTCCAAGATGGAACCAAACGCATAAGTAGCTGCTTCTCTTTGCCTCCAATCTGGTTTTGTTATGTTCTCTTCGATGAAAGGCATAACAAGTGGAACGATATCATCTCCCACTGTCCGAGCAACCAACCCAAGGCAAGTCCCCCCAGCCATAGCAATATTCCAAGCCCCATCTTCCTCCTGATCATCTTCCTGCTTAAGAAGCGTCTCCAAAAGCATAGGGACAAGGGCAGGGATTGCCTGCTTGATAAAGTAGAAGCAAGGAATATCAGAGTCCCCACTAAAATCACCCACATAATCATCCAATATATCGATCTCCTCATCACAAATCGAACTCCAGAATTCAATGGCTTGAAGAGCAACAGGTTCCTGGTCTTCCCTTACAGCTTTTGCTGTGATGCTAAATATGTCCTGAATGTAAGGGGCTAATTTCTCGTAATAAGATGAAGAAATGGAAACTAAACACTCAAAAGCTGCCTGTCGAATCTTCACTTCAGGGGACAGAGTTGCCTCACAGACAACTCTCATAATATAATCACGCTCCATGTCATTGCTAAAATTGGCCTGAGCAAAATTCAAAGCATTGTACAGTGCTCGGGTAGCAGCAAGCCTAACATCATTGTTCCCTTCAGTTGCGTTCATACCCTGAACTACAGCTGTCAGTATTTTATTCACTTGATCTTGATCCACGACATCAGAAGAGATTTCCTCACACAAATACCCAAGAGTCTCTAAAGTGGCTTGCTTTACATGAGCTGGTAACCGGTGAATATTTGACAATAGTGATCCAATCAGTTCCGGCCACTGTTTCATGGGCAACTCAATGCCCGCAACCTTTGCAATAACTTGAGAGGTAGTTGAACGGGCATCAGCTACAGGAGAAGTGAGGATCTGTAACAAGAACATCTTAATCTGCGCTTTCACAGAAGTTTCCAATGCAAGCCATCTTTGAACAAGCTCCAACTTTCTAGGTTGTTCTTTAGCATCCAGGGCATTCTTAAGTATCAGACCTGCTAATTTTCGGCTTTCAACAGGTTTTTCTTCATTTGCTAGCTCTCTAGAAAGAGACAACAAGAACGATGAAAGATCTTGCTCCTGAAACTGTTTCAAACTCTCTTCAGCATGATTCCGTACCGCTCCATCTATAGATTGAGCATTCAGAAGCACCTGGGTAACTTCCATTGATGTATAGTATCTGCGAGTGTAAAATTTTAATTGCTTAGACATATTAGAGAAATACAAGAGGATAGGAGACAAATAAATCATAGCATTTTACAGAGAGCGAAAAACTGTCGAAAATCAGGTTTAGTAAAAATTAACATCATGCAAGAATAGAAAATTTATTAGGCTAGAAAATCTTTTCCGTTCCACCAATTTAGTTTCCAGAAAGACGTCTAACTGAAACTGCAAACCCCTGAATTTGCCCGGAAAACCATTCCCCAACGCACTGCAAGGTGTAACAATGCGTATATTTAACAATTGAAATCAGTAGGAACTACACACACAAACCTGGCGGGATACAACATTTTACCGCAACTCAGTAAATTATCAGGAAACCAAATTTTAACATAAAAGAAATTTACTACCCACACGATATACCTTAAAATTTTCAAATTCAAGCAACAAAAAACCCTACTCCATCTAATCACCAGAACCCTAGTTGTACGGATAACAACAGCAACAACCCAGTCTTATCCCACTACATGGTACATGGGGTCAGCTATATGAATCCTAGAACATTGAGTGCGCCAAGTCTTCGGTTCTGCGCCTAGTTGTACGGACAACAACAGCAACAACAAATCTTATCCCACTACGTGGTACTTGAGGTCAGCTATATGAATCCTAGAACGTTGAGTGCGCCAGGCCTTCGGTTTTGCGCCTAGTTGTACGGATGCACAAACAAATCCACAACCGAACAAATCCCCCACTAAGAAATCCAAACCACAACCAAAGACAAACAATTTCATGGATCGGATGAAATTTCATACAAAATTGCCTACATCTCCAACAAACACCAACAAAAACAACTTTAAAAATCACAAAACGCAACCGAACAAATCCCCCACTAAGAAATCCAAACCACAACCAAAGACAAACAATTTCATGGATCGGATGAAATTTCATACAAAATTGCCTACATCTCCAACAAACACCAACAAAAACAACTTTAAAAATCACAAAACGCAACCCTAGGCCATCAAATTACTCGAAACTTTAACGCATCAAATTCCAATTCAGCGAATCGAACCGGAACAATCAGGATCAGACAAACACAGAGATATGCAAAAATCCTAGTTACCACGGGAACAGCATCGACGTTTCGAACAGGACAGCGATGGAATTACCTGAAAAAGGAACCTTAAAGGGACCGTACGGATGTGGATCGGTACCAGAAAGTCTTCCTCGGAGACAGCGACAGAGACAGACGCAGAGGATAGAGAAGCAAATTGCTACGATGGACTCGGATTGCAGAAAGCAATCAACTTTTTCTTTCTTTTCCTTTTTTTTTTTTCAAAAAAATTGGTTGCGATAATTTTGTTTCGTGGGGCCTATTTATAGTCGGGAATTTTAACGAAAAGTTCGGTACTATTTATTTTAATGAAAGATGCATTTTTGCTCATCACCATTTAATGTGACGTATGATTATCATTCTATTTAATATCGTTAGATGAATTTGAAATTCGAGATTCGAGTAATGGATAAGCACAAATCTCAAAATTCAAACTCATCTAGCGGTGATAAATAGGATGGTGAGCATACACCACATATATGATGGTGAGCAAAAATGCACTCATATTTTTACGTTAAAAGATCAATCCTAGTATTATTTATTTACTCTTTATTTTATCTTCCTTATTAAAATTTAAAATTCTCAAATCTTTTTCATTAATATTCTCTTTATTAGTACACCTTTCCCGGCAATTTGATTTCGTACGAATTGACTCGGGCCGAAAGTTATGGGCCCATCTTTTGGACCGGAGAGCTTGGGCTTCTTATTTTTTGAATTTTTCTTTTCGGCCAAGTAACTGATTTTTAAACTGTTGGTTTCTTGAACCGTATGTAAAAAGGGTATAACTGGTATTTTATAATTCGGTTGATAAATGCTGCTTTTTAGGTCATAGTATAGATGGTAAGTTTTCGCTCTTGTTGTTGAAATTTGGAAAGAGTTAACAAAACCCTAACCCCAGGTGCGGATGGAAATAGGGACCAAGGAGATGAGTTCAAAAAGTATACATATGAAAGTCTTCTGAGGACTTTTCGAATGTTTGGTACGGGTCTCTTTTGTGCCTACTGAATGTTTGATGTGATGCATACTAGGCATATGTCGACATGTCGTGTCAAGAGCACTCAACGAGTTCTCTCTATATCATAATTGCTTTGGCATATGCCGATGTATTTTTACATGTGCACAACAAACTCACTAAGTGAATAAACTGATTTGGTATTTAACATTGGGACCTCCAAAGTTCAAATATCCGCCACTACCTAACTTTAACCCTAACCCTAATGCTCTGTTGATTGGTTATTCAATTATGCGGATCATAACAGCATTGTCGTTGCTGGGCATGATATTGTTAAGCCAATATATGTAACTGGAAAGGGATCCGGAGAGGATCCCTTCCACCAAATCCACCCAATCACCTAATCCGGGCCCTTGAAATTTGATTTAAAGGCTAAAGTTATTATAACTTTTAAAGGGGTCCCTGTTTGTAGCCGTTGGATCAAATTTCAAGGGCCTGGATTGATTGATTGGGTGAATTTGATGGAAGGGATCCCGAGAGGATCCCTTTCCTATGTAACTGAACATTTTCAAAACAAATCAGTAATTTGAAGCTAGCTATAAATTGATTGTGTTTCTTTTTATATATAATTCTCTTCTGTCATCTCGTCTGCCATTCAGATTCAACCATCTAGCGTCTACGAAGAAAATGGAAGAAGATTTTGAACAGCACAAGAAAGTGGAAGAAACAGCTCCTTATGAACACAGCAGAATCCAAGCGAGTAAATATTGATACCATGCATGCTGCTTATGCTATTGCATTCTATGATTATTCCCTACTTTCTTAATTTAAATGTTCGAACTCGTAACTGCCATTGTGCAGGCATGTCGTCCATCTGTGCAGGCATGTCGCCCATCTCCGTACTCGGGATCTTAAGCCTGAGATTCTTGATGAGGTAATGAAAATGGTGGGCCGCATATCGGATAATTTGTGAGGTACTTTGTTCTGGAAAGATAAAAACGAAGCGATTCTAATTTGGTATATAGTGGGATTTTTCCAGGAGTCGAAGAATATGGTTATCTATGTATGTAAAATCAAGTGGATATATCTGTTAAGACGCTGCATTCATTCTATATCTTGTCTGTAGTACATGTCGTAATCACTTTGGAATTTTGAGTTTTTTTTTTTTTTTTTTTTTTTGTTGTAGGCCGCTGGCGGTATAGATGCAGTTACATCCACAAATGAGCAGGTAGTTAAATTAATTCAAGTAATACAGTCGATGATGGACAAGAAGAGGTCGCCCTTTTGCCGGAGATGCCCTAGTGGGATGATGACGAAGATGAAGAGTGAACAGTGGTGAGGAAATGTTTTCGCTAGAGTAATTACAACTTACAAGAGGATGATATGCCAGTCTTAAATGCATGTCATGCCATTGCTAGTTTGTACCGAAACAGTTTTTTACTGAAAATTTGCACTATGATGAGGTGTAATACGAGGCAGAACAGGAGAGGATGAGACAGAAAAGAGTGAGGAGGTTTGGTAGATCTTGTTAGTACAGAAAGCAGTATGATGGAGTTGTACGAAGCGGAACACACAACACAGATGATCATGAGACAGGAAAGAGTGAGGAGGTTTAGGACGTTTGGTTCAAATGCAATCAATCAATAAATTTTCAATCTCTTAGGAGAATATAACAGTTGAGCAATTTTACAAAAAATGCAGATCAATTCTAAGGGAATACGAAGAGGAAACAACTGAAATTTTCATGTAATTTCTTCTATTTTCTTCCAACAAAAACATTCCTAATTATTAAAACAGTTTCACACAACACTATATACCTATCCTAAGTATATACCAGTTACCACTACTTTTTGAGTCAATGCTCAACCTAATGAAAGCAAAGTATTTTGTTTTGCTCTTCTATATGTTTCAAATGACAAAATAAATACACAATTAGCATAAGCTCCCGCTAAAAACAATCGAAAAGTGCCTTTCCCGGGTCATCACGCTTCAGAATTCGTCATGCAAATCTTCATCAAGATTTTCGTTGATGCTGCCATCATAGACTGTGTTGTAGAAAACATAATCATGATCGAGCATCTCCTCGAGCGTTAATTTTCCATCTTTGTTACCATCCGCCTGAATCGAACAATGCCACGCATTTCATTTCAGATTCATTTCAGCATATCTCATTGATAGGAGTACACCGATTGAAACATTACTAACCTCCAACATCAGAAAGCTTGCATAATATTTAGCATAGGACAATTCTCCTGGGTGAATGTAATGTAGGATTGGTTTCAATTCTTCCACTTCCAAGTGTCTGTCAAACATGTTTCGATTTCAAAAGAGATTAGTAAAGTCCTGTAAACTATAATCTTGGCAGCAAAGGAAGAAAATAAAAAAAATTAGGTCAAAAAATGTGTTAGCTTGAGGTTCAAGGCATGCATGCATACTTGTTCTTGTTCACATCAAGTTCTGTAAATTTCTGTTCTGGCGAGGGTACATTCTTCCCGCCCGTTTCAAATTCTACGTAACTCTTGTAATTATCATAAGCGTTGTGTAAAAACTCCATGAAATTCATTTTCCCATCCTTATCCTTGTCCATCCGCCTGTAAATTATGGGCAGACATTCGTTAATCCGTTCCTTAATTTGCAACAAGTTATTCAGGAAAAATATAAGAGGCATTAATATGTTAAGATATGTGAGAAAATGTACTTCATTTTTTCTCTCAACAGCCATTTGTGAATTTCTTCATTGTTGCTGTCTTCTGGGTGCAACAAACTGCAACAAAAATACAAATTAAACAAAAATATTTATGTTCAACCAAAATTCTCAGAAATAAAATGTTGGCCATAGTAAATATGAAATGAAGAGAATTATTTACTCTTTCAATTCATTGAAGTTTAGTAATCCATTCTTATCAGCATCTGCATTCTCAAATTGTTGCTTCCACCATCCAGCTTCTCCGTGCTCCATTTTGTTTTTCGCTGTTTCACCAAAGTTGAAAACCAAAGTTGAAGAAACTAGAAGTTTTTTTTTTAATGCATCCCGTCCCTCTTACAGACAGACAGTACGTCCTGCACAGAGAATTTCTGCATATATATTCACAAACATATAAAGCAATAAGTATAGGTAGTTAAATACCTAGATCCTTAGTGGAAAACTTGGGCAGATACTCCGCGAAAGAAATTGTTCCATCACCATCTTTATCGTGCGATTCCATTTCTTTCTGTGTGCTATAATTCAACCTCTCCAAGGTTTGTTGCATGACCCATTGCTCGAGCTCCTTAGAGCTAATGAACCCGTCTTTTGGCGCCTGGTCTATCAACGGGAACAGATTAATCAGCCTCAACGTGAGATTCAACTTTCCCTCATTGCCAATATATTCATGTACTTCTTCCACCTCACTTGCATTCATTCCCCCTGGGAATCCATTTTCCTTGGCGTACCTCTCCATCTTGGCGACCAGAGGGTCAAAAATGGGAGCATGACCCGTGTAGCCAAGACGGCGGTTAAGGCCGAGGAGGGGGTGGGGGTGGTGGTGGCGGCGGCGGTGGTTGGGGCCACGTTGTTTGGAGGGAAGCATGACGAGAAGAAAGATAAAGGCGGTGGCAAGTAGCGCGTAGACCACTGCCTTCGCCATTGCTTGGCATCAAAGAAGAAGAAGAAGAAGAAAAAGAAGAAGAAGAAGACAAGGTGATGATGATAAGCAGCCAACGACCAACTGAATATTTTGGGTGGTGGCAGAAACGGTTAGTGACCGTTACAAGTGAGAGGTACATAGAGGATATAATGTTGCCCTTTTTATTAATAGAGATGGATTGGGGGGACATCTTTAATTGTTCCAATATAGCAAAATCTCAGGCAGCTTTCCGTCCAGGTTTATTCAAGGTTTTCAGTTTAGAATTTAAAATATATTTTTCGTGCTTGGGCGTCGATCGATGCGTCAGGACTAATGTTTGAAGCATTGCCGTGGCCTAACCCAAAAATAAAAAGCCCAATTCGCTTGGCCCGAGCACGAAATATACTCTACTTTGTAGTTTCAAGAGAGAACGAGACTTTCATAGATGGACAACAACCCCTTAAAAAAAAAATTCATCAGCAAATGAGAGCATTAGATCGGTGGCAAAAAGTAGGCCTTTGATATGCACTATACCGTACTAGTTACACCCAGTGATTTCAACCTTTCCCTTCACTTCCACGATAGGGAAAACGAGTAACCCTAAAAAACGGAGGTTACACAACGACGAGGTAGAAAACTACATACACATACAGCTCTATCTTTTGAAATCTTTTCAGAAGACAACAGATTAGGAAAAGATTGGGGTTATAATACATCACCAATATACATCCCCCAGGAATATTTAAAAAACACTACGGCCGTAGAAAACCAAAGTAAACCGTGGTCGGTCAGTGACTCTTCTCCTTTGCAACCTGCAACCAAGGCCAGTTTGACTCACAGATATCACTTGGAGAGTTGCCATCGTTGTCCTTTGCACTCGTGTCGGCATTTTGCTTCACAAGGTATGCCTTCTCTATCGCACGTAACCGCATAGTGCAATGCAGTTTGGCCCTCATTGTCCTTCCAAGACCAAAAAACAGATATTTAAAATGGCATAACAGGGGGTGGGATTGGGAAAATTTTACAAACTTGCTACCTTAAATAAATGTTTATCGTGTAATCTACCTTTTCATTAATGTTGGCATTCTTGTTAACAAGCAGCTCTGTCGTGTTCAGGTGCCCACGATCCACAGCCCAATGCAATGGGGTCCTTCCCTCACCATCTGCTATGCACGTAAATGTTTTAGGGCGATACCAGCATCATACGAGCACATAAAAAGTTGTGCAAAGGAAATTTCCTTTAACATCCTAATATAAAGGGTAGGATGATAGACCACCAATAAAAACAAATCAAACATTTTCTGGGTGAGGAGAGAATAAATGCCAGAGAAAATCAACAAAATATTAAGCCATGTACATGTATTGAAAGAAAGAAAGAAACATGTGGTGTGCTGTTCATCTGAGAAACAAGCAATAAAAGCTACGTTAAGAGAGATCTGCAGCTGGATCAGTATGAACTCGAACTTGAGGTACCATAGCTTTTGGCCTTAAGCCTTTTCAAGCTTTTACAATTTATGTGCTGAATTTCCCTACAGTATATAAGCATGTTAACGACCATACATGGCTTTGTAGTTATGGAAATATAAATGGATTAATTATGATATGTCAGTTTGAAACTTAATGAAGCTATTTAAAGAATCAGATGGAAGAAAATAAACCTTTCTGATCCACTGAAACACCACTTTCAATGCATTTAAGCAAATTATCCACTTCCCCTTCTCTGGCAAAGGCATGAATAGCATCCATCTTTCTGAAGAATAAAAAACAAGCAAAGCTTAGCAGTACTTTTTTTTATATATTTATTTCCAAGAAACAGTAACTAATAATCGACGGGATGTGTAAATATTAACCCTCCCATGCTTAGTAGACCTAAAAAACTTACAGATCCTTTTCAGATTCTTCCTCGTAAACAAAGGTGCTGAAAACCGGTCCCATTGGTCCTTTAGAATCATTACCAGGTGCACTACCATCTCCACCTCCTCTGCTTTTCTAGTAATCATGTGTCAAGAGACAGAACAAAACCAGAAAACCCAACAGAAAGTAAGTATAAATGTACGGCAATACTAAAAATTTGCAGTTGAAAACGAAAGAATCAAGACTCACCACAGTCAAACCTGCTGCCCAGTTAGGATAAAGCTCTGTGACAATATCAATGTACTTCTCCATAGCATCTTCAGGAGGCATAGCACCCAATTTCTGCCAAGCTTGCCTGTAAGAAATCACCGAGCGAAAAGATTCAAAACCACGGCAAGTCGCCTTCTAAAGTAAGATACACAGTTTAACCACCCCTAATACACCAATCAGCCAGTAAAAACATTACAATTAGGGCAAAATTACAACTTGCTAATCTTGATATTAAGCAAAACCAATCCAAGAACACACATTGCCCATCCTTATCGAGCTGAAAATAAGACCCATATAAATAAACCCTAAATCTTGGAAGTAAATTTGCAGTATAAAGTAATGGTAGAGTAAATACCATTTGGCGCGAGCAGTCATTTTCAGAGCCGATGGCTGCGGCACGCTGCAGGGACCCTCAGTAGCAATCTTGTAAAGCCCATAAAGCTTCAACTGCGCATCAGTCGACACCTTCTGCCGATCCGTCGCGGCCGCCGCGACAAACGCCGACGCCGCGCTGAACAGCTTGTCCAATTCCGTACTCTCCACACCTTCCCAGTCATCATCACTGTCACCTTCGCTGCTCTCGTTCCTGACGCTGCCGTGCTCGGCGACGACCGATTCGGCCTCGATTGCCGCGGAGCTCAAATCGGCGGAGCGAGGCGGGTCGTCGCAGGGCTCGGGTTTGGGCGGCGGCGGATTGGTATCGGCGGGGGCGGCAGTGCGAGCGCGAGCGAGGCTGAGATTGTCTTCCTTGAAGGAGATGACTATGGCGATAAGCTTGGCGAGGAGGAAGGAGAGAAAATGAGGCCGAGGATTATCGATTGGAGGAGCTGCTGCCACTCTCCTCCCATTGTTTCTTCTCTGCGGAAGATCCTAAAACCCCAACCCTAGGAGAATCAAAACGGATTGAAACGACGAGCTAAAACCCTAGAAAATTGGGGAACTAGAGAGAGAAAGGGAGAGAGAGCGTTTTGCTTTTGCTCCCCGGAGATCAGAGCGCACCGCATAGGAGACAACAAAAAACAGTCGGGTGCTCCGCGGACAAAGCCAGTTAAGTACGAGGGAACTCAAATCTTCTACACCTATTCTTACCTGTAGCCTCTCCGTGGCCTTTCAATTTGAGCGCCACCTGTCCTCTTACTAACTTCCACTAACACTAACTGGATCGACGGCAGTGGTGGGGCCAGTTTGTATAAACTCACAAGCATAACCCTTTCTCCTCAAAGAATTAGTAGGGGTTTCTGCTTAAAAAAATTAGGAAACTAATGAAAAATATTTGAAAATTTTAAGTTTTAACGAACAAAATAAAGGGTAAAATGAATAGTACTAAGATTAACTTTTTAGTGTCAAAATGTGGTTTTTCGTTAAAATGAACAGTACCGGGAACCGGGAGCTTTTGTTAAAGTTCCCTAAAAAAATTTGTTGTCAATATATAAAATTTTGTGTTTATGATCGGAACTGTTCGTAATATAAACCACTCTATAATGATTGTTTTTGCAAAAAATCAATCAAAACTAAAATCGTTTAGTCATAGAATTATAAAAACAAATGAACGAAATTGATAACAATTTTACGAACTCTTTATGCATTTGCTATAATAGATTAACCAAACGATCTTAGTTTTAATTTATTTTCTTTACAAAATGATTCATAATATAAACAATTCTGATCATAATCACAAAACTTTCTGATATAAACTTGAATAGCTAAACATTATTCTTGCTTGAAAGTAGACATTCATGGCATACTTTGCATGGGCTCTAACTGTGTTGGCCACAAAGCACGGTCCACCTTGTTTGATTGGCCCACAATCCAACCCCAGGAAACAAACATAATCAATATTCCTCTGCAATGCCTCCGTCCTGGGCAAGCACCACAATTTCTTGCCGCGTGATGGCGGCAGACTCATCGGTGCTAACAATGGAGTGTCATAACTTGATGTTCATTGAACAAGACAAATATGTAGGCCTCAAAAGTTCGGTTTGGCGTTAATGGAGTGTCATAACTTGATGTCACGTGATGAATGAGATATCTATTGTAATTTTCGGCACTCCTCTGCATCGACCCCAACTTGGGCCAGATAACTCTCAGAGGCCCAACCCGTTTCGGCTATAACAATCATAAGGTCCTCAAAGCCCACAAGTTTCATAGCTTAAAAAAAAGCACCTAGATGAAATAGTATAGGGAGGGAATGGCCTGTGCGTACACATCGTCAGATTGACGATTGAGGAAAATGTAGCGCACAAAATCAAATGGTATTTCAGGTACAATCAGACGGGATCGGATAAAACCTTTTTTCCTCTTTTGTTTTTGTTGTTGGTATTCTCTAACCAATTACTAAGCTTAGTGATTTTCACATTCTCGTCTTCTCCTTATGCAAGCAACTCTTCTTTTCTCTATGTTTCTTAATTATCATTTGATTTATTCAATCCAAGTAGCTAGGTGAATTTTCTCAGTAGCTAGGCGTACTTGCAGAATGAATAAGACTTTGACACGTATTCATCAGGGATTGAGTGTAAGTAGGAGCTCCTGCTGAAATGTTCAGCAGCGAAGCAGCGTCCTTGCTGAATATGTGCGCAAAATCATGTAAGGCTAGGTAGCCCAGCAGAGATAATAAGATAGGGTGGGCTGCCAGGGCTGGTATACAAGAGGGTTAAATTCTTCGATCAATACATACGTACATACGTACATACTTGCATTCATTCATTAGCGAGTAGATAGTACAGAGTAAAGAACAATATGATAGATATACATAATGATATTTAGGCCGGCACTGGCGCTGCACTTCGGTCATCTGTCCTTTTCAATCTCTTGATTTTAGCTTAAGTACAAAAGAAGAAAAATGAATACAGGTTCAAGTAGTGGAAACATCATCATTCTAAAGTAGGGTAAAGTTGCGTACTATAGACGTTTCTCTCACGCCTCTCACAAAGTGGTAGCTCTTTTATAAAAAAAACAAAGAAATATTAACATTACAATTAAGTCAATTATATAATCGAACAATATTTCGATAAATTTAGAGTCAATTATATATTAAAAAAAAGGAAGTTAATTACAAATTAAGTCATTTGAATGAGATCTCTGGTATAATTTTTCTGGCGATTTGAATTATAAAAGGAAACACCTGCCTTTAATTACCACAATTTGAAAGCTAATATACGCAGGAAATACATATAATCGATGTATTGTATATGAGTGGTTCAGTATAATATGCTAGCTGAATACAAAGTATTGATTCAAGTTCTATATTGGTAATTTGCATGATGACGAATAATACTATTTAAGAAATTAAGATCGGCCAGGCAAGATAATTAAGTAATAATTGATCATATATGTTCATGGTATCATCATCTTCCTACAAGAGAAAGTGGAAATTAAGAGATAATATATGCGTATTAATTAATTAACCAGCAAGAGAGAGTGGAAAATTAGCAGTACTTAACTGTATATAACTAAGATTGATGAACTAGCCAGAAATCAAGGCCGCTTTTTGGTGCTGAAACGGTAGTTTTGCTGATCATGCTGCAAAAATGTTCCTCTTGTAACGTTGCTTGCCCAAATGAGCATCTCAGGATTGCAGAAGCACCAGTGCTATATATATATACACATACATGTTCTTATATATATATATGCAAGCTGCATGCAAACTGTGGCTGGAATACTCATTTGAGCAAGAAACATTACGAAGAGGAGTAATCCCATAAAACTCTCTCTCTCTCTCTCTCTCTCTCACACACACACACACACACGCATACACAGAGACATCTATCACTGAACTGAATAAGCAAGCACATGGTTCTTGTAATATCCCTTCAATATAGGGCAGGTTCTATATATAGAAGGTCATAAGTCCTACACCAGTACTACCTGGTAATGATTTGGTGGGGGTGAAAGCACAGTAATATTGTACTATGTGTAATTTAATTAGGAGTCAGGACCCACCCCAATGCATGCGTACCGCTAGAACACAAATCTAGGAAAGAGACTTCTATGAAACACGTTAACTGTTACCAATAACGTTCTGAATCACTAATAAAAGATGACTTTACATATCCTTTTATGAGTGGTACATGATCTCGTCATCTGGATGTTATGGTACTATTAATCAATTTAGGGCCGTCGTTCATGACTAGCTTAATTAATTAATTGTTGTTAATTATATAAATATTAAGGTTTTAGCTAGGGTAATGGAATCAGTTTGTTGGCAAGCATATGATCAGGAAGAAGTACGTATGTGGTTTGTCATTTTTAATTCAGTTTTGACAGTCGGTTCAAAGGGGTGGTGCTGCTTCTGCTGCTGCATACGACATACAGCTAGTTGGAGAGGAGGAATTGTAGATGGCAGATCTTTGGAATGGTTGGTACGTACTCCTCGCTACATATCTACATCTCTGAAGGCAACATATTTGGAATGGTTGCTAATACACCAACCACCAAAACTTAATTATTATGATGTTACAATTTTAATTTTCCAAAAATGCCGACGTGGTATGTGCGAACGTAATTATATTGGTTAAAATAAATGTGTTTACTTTATGCATCCGAGTGACTATACACTTAATCTTTCTATGCATATGAGTTCAAGTCTCCATTCCACACTGTAAATTGATTTCATATAAACGTGTTATATAATATACTTACACAATGCAGCTACATGTCTAGCTAACTAGACAGCTAGGACGAGTACTTCAAATTGGATAAAGGTATAGAACAAAACACAATTTAAAGGCACTACTAGCTCCCATTATGCATGTGATCCACTCTATATGCATGCATCTTCACTTGTACTACTAACTATATAGAGAACAAATATGTGGTACCATTTTTTTTACATAACTTTTGACACATTTTTTTGTAGAGCTCATTTCATTATGTATTTTAGCGATTGATTCGATCATTTATCTTTTAGGTCTTCTCTCAAAGATCATGTTTACCAAAAGTCACCGAAATCTGAAATCATATGACCGTTGGATTAAGGGATTAGGGTTTCTTTGTAGAACCGTATTCGTTCATTTTATTCACTATAAATGAATGTCTTAATGATTTTAGATTTGTCCAATTTTTAACAAGGATGATCTATGAATGATGTTCTAAAATATAGACGGTTTGAATCGTTAAAAAATATCATGGAATGAGCCCTACAAAAACTAGTGTCAAAAGTTATTAAAATGGAGTTTTAACAAAACACTCCCCGATATTGTTCACTTGTAACGAAAAACCATATTTTTACCTTTTCTTGGTACTGTTTACTACACATATATTTGTCATTTTTCATTAAAACTAAAGTTTTTTTTGAATTTTTCGTTTATTAAAAATGTGATGTCACGGATCCAAGACACCACTTGAAATTTTTTAGAAAGAAGAAACAGTACTCATTTCCTATAAACTAAAAACAATTGAGTTGAGATGGCTCCCACAAAGGAGATGAGTAAATGGGCTCGGTTACAATGCCAAGAAAGTTGAGAAGTGACCATAAACTCAAGTGGTTTTAGCGTGGAATTCTAACTTTTTATTTTATGGTACTAGAGCACATTGTTTTATGTGTGAAGTCAAATAATCACACGCATTCAATGTTACTCATTTATCTTGTTCACGTGTTTGGTTTGAAAATTCGCCACACATGAGAAAACGTGTTGAGAATGAATCTCACGCAAATGAAAGAATGGATTTTGCATGGACTTATAACTTGAGTTACTCCCTATATTGCTATTTAGTGTTACGGTGGTACTTCAACTTTCCTTACAATAGCAAGTGATATGAGTTTTGTGCAAAATCTAAACCGAGGGAAAAATCCATTAAATTACCATATGCACTCGTATGTAGAGTCTAACTATTGCAAAAATCCATTAAACTTTTATATGCAAAATCTGACTATTGAATTTTCAAATCACTGGTACCTATCATAAACTAACAGTGATACTCTAACTTGACCTAATTCTTGATGGGTCACGTACTTTCACAGTTTATTAATTACCAGTCGATATGGCCGAGCGGCCGGTAAATTCATGCAGCCTGATCTAAATCTTACAAGGCTCAACGAAATCCGGCGGGCCTAGATTCAAAATTCTTAGGCAATGATCAAGAAAATCAAAGGACTAATTGAGTTTAGCACAAGTGGTGAGATAACAAGTTATGATTAGGAAAAGATTCCGAACATTGGTTTTTTACTTCTGCACTTTTATGTTGGTTTTCTTCTGTTTCTTGATTTATTCAACCCAACGGTTAAAGAGAGAAGTGTAGAATGATTTTTTAAGCATCGCTGAATTCCTCAAAAGATTGTGTCAATGATTAAAGTATCTTAACCACTATCTTTTGAAATGAATGTCTAGCCTTCAAAATCAAGGGAGAAGAAAAGTAAAAGAAGTGCTGGTGGGGGCTGGGAAGTGAGGAGCACAACCCTTAGGTTTGATTAAAAATTATATAAAGTTGGTTGGTGAATTATGAATTTCAATTTCAAATGAAGTAATGAGGAAGTGCGTAGCATCTGATTTCTGGTATGCTGCATACGTGCATTGCGATCTAGCTACCCATATCATAATATGCCCCTTCCTCACATTTTCCTTTTGAAAAACGATATCCGCACTCTTTTTTTTCGTCTGCACCCCTTTGTTTATTCTGTCGCTTGATTTTTCTTTGATTTATGCAATCCAAAGGCCACGGAGTCTGTGCATGAGAAGAAAAAAGGTGTGCGGATATCATTTATTTGACAGAAAAAAGATGAATATTTCAAACTGAAAGCCATAATAAAGAAGAAAATACGACAACAGAACTGTCTTCGGATGATCGGTACTCATACGCAGATGCAGGATAGTAGGATACTATATCAAGGCCTATACAGTTAAAATGCCTAGAAATGAACTCGAAATACAGAACGAAAATGCATTAAGCACCGTGCGTGTGTTCGAGAGTGGCTGCTTCTTATATTCAAACAGACGAACCTTGGATTATCGACACCCTAGAGCAGCTCTTCCTTCGTCATTGATAGATGTATTTCTACAAATTTTCTGAAGATCAATATACCCTATAATGGTATCCTCGAAAACTGCACCGTCCAGGTTTGCTTCGTTAAAGGTGGAACCTGATAAGACACTGTTAACAAACAAAGCTCCTTGCAGATTCGCTTTCTCAAAGTTAACCCGGTCTAGAACTGCATTCGTGAAGTCAGTACCTGCAAAAGAGAGAAAAATTGATAATCCCCATTGCTGTGTGCATTTGATATCAAGGGATGATATGCAAGCTTACCCTTGAAGCTAGCTCCTGCAGCATAAGCCTTTGACATCACAACTTCTGACATGTCTGCGCCATCAAATTTGGCTCCGGACATGAGTGCTGCCGCAAGACTCTTTCCCTTAAGATTGGACTTCTCGTTTGTGTAGTCACAGAAGCGGAGATCAATTGCCTTGTCGTAAACTCCATTTGCCTGACCTATTGTATTTCCAACAAATGCAACCTCACATCGCTTTGGATCAGTAGACAGTGGAGGCAACCTCTGTTGGATACAGAAGAAGTCAGTTTAGCAACTTTTCATAATCACAGCTATAAGAAGTTAAACTGGTTACTTATAATTTGGATAGTGACATTTTGGCTCCTGCTTATTTGATGAACATGTGGCATTTCATAAGAGATGAAAGAAAATCACTCACAAAGGCAAAGTAACGAAAAAACTTACAAAGTATCTTGAATCTCTGCTCATGTCATAAATGGATTTTGTAAAGTGGATTGGTACAGACTTATCTGGTTCTCTACCGCGATTCCAAAACAGGGTTTATTTCTTGGTAGCTTATTCGTGACAGTCTTCCAACTAAGGCTAGACAAATTTCTGAGCCTAGACGGCCAACTCTCAACACAATCTTCGTCGTGATGAGTTTAATTGGATAAAATCGCAGTAAAGGAAAGAGTAAGATTTCCGATTATCACATTTGGTGTAAAGGAGTCTCCCGATTCATGAACAAACTTTGCATCCTGAAGTTATTAATAGAGAAATTTGTGTGGAACTTTAGCCTTAGCTGGTTGTATGTCCTAGTTTTGCTTGGTTCTTGATTGTCCTACAAGCTGATGTTGTGTTCCTCACTTTGTATAGATGATCTTGTTTTACCATACAAAACACTAAAAGACATTCGGAGGTAAGAAAAGCGCGAGAACGGAATGAGATTCAGCTCAACATGGGGAACTCAAATCGCTCATGAACAGATGATGAAGATAACAAAATCGTAAGGCAACGGCACCAAAAGCAAGCCAAGTGAAAAATAAATATACGGGATGGGAGGGTTTCAAACCTGACCAGCAGCAATTACAGGTGAGGCAGCGGTAGTCACGGCCCAAACAGCAAGAATCCCACAAGCTACATTCTTAGCTTGCTTCCACTGACTCAGTTCTTCCTTTGTTTCATGACCATCCCTAGAAGCTGCACCCGCCCACCCAATTAAACCAAATCATAAATCCAAATCTGCAAATTTTGCAGTACAATGCAGGATCCAAAAATAGGCGGAAAGTGCTTATATATCTACTCAAATGATATTCTAGGGAAGGGTATTCGAACTTCGGGCCAACTATCCTAACCCACATCTGCAAGTTTGTAAGGACCATTTGAGACTGCTGCTTTAAAAAGCATTTTTGTTAACTACCACTTTTACCACAGGTGATCTTATTATAAAAGCGTTTGAAATTTTTATTTAAATCTTTCTAAGAAGCATTTGGCATGAGTTTTTCCAACAAAGTGCTTCTATGAAAGTACTTCTAAACGTAGTCATTGTATATAACACCTATAAACAATCAAACCCAAAACTTGAAATTGTTTTTCATAACAAAAAAAAATATCAATCTTTATACACATTCACCAAAAAAAGGCTTACCGGAGCAAAATACGCGCGTGGGGGAGTGGAATTGCGGGCGTTTCGTGTGGGAGAATTGGAGAGAAACGCCGTTTCGAGACAGAGGAATCACTGAAGAAAGTGAAGCAGCCATTTTTTCAGAAGACAATGGTGTTCTCTTTCTCTTATCCGTTTCCTTCTCCTTTCCACTTAGTTCCCGAAGATCAAGATGACGTGGTGTGACACGTGGGATCGTGTCTGACGCCAATGAAAACCATTTCCCCTTAGCCTTATCCCCGCGGGTGACGTTTATACATGAGATAGCATTTTCACAATGATGTTCTAGTGGTAAATGACGAATTACGAGGTTCCATTCAAATTAAAAATTAAAAGATTTTGGGTTTAAAATCCGTTGCTGCTGTGGACGTTAGATTTGTGGCCAGGAAAGGCTGAAATGTCTATGTGAGTCTTTCCGACCTTCGAAAAAAATGAATAATCGTGGTTTGCCAATGATTGTCCTCATTAAAAAAATAATAATAAATTAAAAAATAAAAATAAAAACATTAGACATTTGTCTAAATACTTACTCACTCTTATATGCCGTTGAATCACAAAGTCAATAAATATAAGGGTAATGTTAATGAAATTAAATTTTCAAATTAAATGATGTGTCAATAATGGAAATGAGCACGTTTATCAACACTTAAGTAATAAACCAATCATTAACTTCTATGTCATTTAGTTTCCAACATTTAATTTATAAATTTAGTCTCTCTGATATTATCGAAAATAAAAACATATGAGTAAATTTGGTTTTTTCTCAAATGATGCTGGCAAATAACCATTACGAGATAGTTCAGTGGTGGTTGGCGGTTCTAAACCCGTATTCTACATTACACATTTTAAATTACTACATGGTACTAGTATATAACATAATGGTGATCATAAAAAACTGTAATATTTTTGCGAGTCTTCCGCTTCAAAAAAAAAAAAGAATTCTCCTCACAAAACTGCTGATCTTTTATAAAAACAAAAAAACAAAAAAATGCCGGCAAATACTAGTATATGCTTCAAAAATAATGCATAGACATAAATAGCAAAGACAACAAAAAAAGTAAGAATATGGTAAAAGGGAGTTCCTAACGACAAGGAACAACAAACAACGAAAGGAAAAGGGCGGAGAAACGGTCGGAGGAATCGGCCTTTGACTTTGTTGGTATATTTGAGGGATCGGGCCTCCTCCGTTTCTCTTTCTCTGACTTGCCACTGCCAAAAAAACAAGGAGTTTGTTCCGACAATGGAGAGCCAGAGCCAGAGCCAGAGCTCGTGCCTGTCGTACGAGAAGATCAACGGCGTCGCCAGCTGGCTTGGGACCCACGTTGCCTCCGCCTTCTTCAACTCCCTCGAGCGTTGCTCCTGCATCAACCTCTCCACCTCCGATGACCAGGAAACCAACCCCGAGGAGGCCCACGACCGCCCCCTCATGCTCTTCGCCTCCCGCTCCGTCAACCTCAGCGACCACCGCCCTCACTACATTTTTTCCTCTTCCTCCGCCTCCTCCTCCTCCTCCTCCACCCCCCCACCAAAAGACGTCGTCAACCTCCCCGTCTGAATGGGTGGATCGGATCATCTGGGGTCCTTTTTGTTTCTTCTCTCTCTCTAGGATTTTATTTTCTTCTTGAAGTTTTGTGTCTTTTTTTTGGATTAATCGGGGTTGGTTTGTATGATTAAATTCAAAATGTTTTTCTTGCTGGTGAATTTGTTTGCCTGGATGTGATGTGTTGTTGTAAACATGTAACAGTTAACGTGGACTGGTAAAAAAGGAGGTCTCCTCTCGTTTCTGTGTGATGGGTTCTTTTTCACTTTGATATATTGATTGCATGATTGGCATGATCTGAAACTGTATCTCTATGTGTTGTTTGTTGCTTCTCTTCCTAGGGATGTGCAATTGGTATCCATGGGAAGGAAGATGACAAGTCCATCTGGGAATTTTTAAGGGTTTTGATAGACATATTGTCGCAAAGCGGGGGTTTTGTTGGCTTGGGGTCGTTCTTTATTTGGTTTCTATTGTGATTATTCTATAGAGAATAATGTGTGTTTTTGAATGTGGAATTGTGAATGGGTTAGTCAAGAACGTTTAGTAAATGTGGGTTAGGTCAGTTAGTCATAGCAGTATAGTATGATTTTAAAATGCACTCGAGTTTGAATCTCCCGTATCAAAGAATGGCAAAAGATGACAAGTTGTGGTCGTGTCATAGTAGTTGGCTTGCTTCTTTACTATAGAGTTTGAATCCCTATCTCGTAGAATGACAAAAGATGACATGTAATGGATTAACACAAGGTGGTGATGGTAGGGGTAGTGTGCTCGCCTCTTATGGTCTTACCACTCGAGTTCGAATTCCCCACCTCCTAAGATGTCAAAAGACGACAAATATGATGGTTAGTCCAATGAGTTAAAACAAGACGACATTTTGAACTTAAGTTCGAATCCTCCACCTCATAGAACGCTGATTTGACGAGGCTGAGGGATGTATTAGATTGGACAATTGGATCATTCATTTTGGGCCTATGGATAGGCCTTGTTTCGGGCTTAGGTTTCATATGCAGTGGTTCGAGGCATGGGTTGGATATATGGGCTACGTATCACCCAATATTTGCAACAAGGCAACAAATATCAATGAACATGATAATCCGACTTCCCCTTCTCTTGAATGTGCTTTTTTTGCACACCAACCTCAAAACGACGGTAATGTTCATCACTCTATTTATTATCGTTAAATGAGTTCAAATTTTAAGATTTGTTCTCAGCAGCACGCACTGTCATGTCAAAAACTAATACACGACAGTACATTTTAGGTTTGGGAATTGGACTAGCGAAAAGTGACGTCCCCGGTGCAGGCAAGTAAGTTTGAGTCCATTTAAGGAAGACACATCAGTTGTGTAATTGTGTCCTTTCCTACCGTAGTATTTGCTATTCAATTTCGAGTATGAACATGCAGGAAAAAAACTACATGAATATTCCACTTACATATGAGAAAGAAAATTTGCAGTTTGCATTAACTAAATCTCAAAAGGTATTCCTGTTAAGTTAACAAAATGGCTAACGATTGGAGACTAGACTAAGCTGGTGTTAGACTAAACTGACAGTGCAAGTATACAAGGGTCTACGTCGACGAAAACCCGGTTAGGCGCGCTCATCCATGGACACGAGAAGCAAATCGTATTCCTGTCAGAGATGTCTTCTCCAAAAGAGTGGATAGTCCAAGTTTCCAGCCCCTGGCTGAGGCAACGAGCCACTTCGGACGAAATGGATTCCTGCACATTCCCACTGCCAGCCAAAGCTCATCGACCCTACCATGAAACGGACAAGATTTGGCAGACAAACAATTCAATCACTCTGACCGGCGAACAATATGGAATGGTGGAGTTCCCCACCATCTTTTCCCCAAACGAATTCCAGCCACCAGCGCTTGAATCCCTATCCATCTCAGAGAACAAGGAAGTTCTACAAGGCCCACAGGCACCTGCATTATATAGATGTCATATCTCATTGGCTTTCTCCTAACAAATGACTTCACATCTAAAATTTGAGAACCGGCAGACCAAAAGCATCCCACATTGATTATAATTAAACTATCCGGACAAGCTAACCTTGGCCACTGGCTGATCCCGAATTGGATTACATTACAACCATGGAATATCAGCCATCTGTCAGGACATAAAATGGCACCATCGGAGAACCAAATCTGTCATCGATCGTGCACATGCCTGCTAGAAATGTCAACTCGACCCTGTAGGCTGTTGTGGCCATTGATGCTGCCGAACGTAATGTCAGTCATCAATCCATTAGACCGGCTTCTTGTAATAGGACTAAGCAGGCACTACGCGATAAGAGTGCTGCGGAGGGGAACCATGTTGAAGACCACTATAGTATCAAGCGGGTACTGGTAAACCATAATTGTGGAACGATCTGATACGTCCATCCCATCCTGCAGTAACAATAACCATACCCCATGCATGAGAACTGGATGTGTTCTGGCAAGAAATTTTAAAAAACTTGTACTCGGATATGTGCATATTAGATTGGTTTGCCAGTGGGCTCGTAGTTGGAAGATTCTCCTCCGGCCAAGTAGCAGATCCCTTCGGGATAGACTCAAGGAAAGAATCTTGGCTGAGAGAAAAACATGCAGGTGAGGAAAAAGGCAGAGCGTCCTGTAAATTCTCATCAGCAGCCTGAAATTGCCTCTCATTTTCTACGGTCCCACATTTAAATCCAGACCAAGGTATCGCCACAGAAACATTTGTGGAAAAGCGCTCACAAGATCTGATCTTTTTTGCCTGAGAGAGAACTCGTTCTTCATGATTATTGCAGTTCCATACATATACACTAGAATCCTCACTAACCGAGACTATATGTTTCCCATCTGAAGTGAAGGTAGCAGATGTCTGGTTCCCTGCATTTCGTTGTCCTGCAAGAGACGAGAGACAGGGTTTAGAAGAGAGAAATGTATGAAATTCATCAGTCAGATGCTAAAACAGAGAACAAAACTCATTTGCATACTAACATTTGCATCAAATTTTCTTATGCACAATGGAAAATCAGAGCGGTGGAAACCAATAAAAAAAAAAACTATTACAAATAAAAACATCAAGTTATGCAACTACCGGCATACTTGCCGACCACAGTAAGACCGTGAAGAATTCTGACTTGTGAATCGGCCGTAGTGACCATCACCTTGCTAGAATCTTGTGGGAAAAACTGTATAAAATAACAAAAATTACTGAACTTCAGATCCCAGATGGAGAGGTAAAGTGATGTGTAAAAGAAAACAAAACCGAAAACAAAGCAGGGAGGAAGTAACTACCTGGAAGCCTGTAATCTTTCTGCACGGAGACTTCTTTTTACTTTGCAAGCATAAATGAGCATCCAATTGCAAAAGATTATCTGCTCCAAGACACACATAACTACTTTATCAGTACAAGCTCAAAGTGAGCAGGGGCACCTACTCAGTTTCTAGGCAAAGGAGGTGAACAAAACGGAGGAGGCTGAGGAATGCAGGTGTAGAATGTCAAAGCATACCTGATATATTATAAAAGTGGCAACTGCCTGTCATTGAGCCAACAATTCCTCCCTACGGTGTTTGAATAAGCATTACTTAATATGTGAGCATACATATACATCTCTACATAACTGAAGGGCAAGAAAATCACCAAACCTGCCCATCAGGGTAATAGCACACCACAGTAACTATATCTCTTATGTCACTCCAATCAACAACTTGGCAGCAAGAAATTCCCCAAATACGTACTTTGCCATCTATTGAACCACTGATGAAGTAATTCTCATCCACTGGATTAAATTGAACACTGGTCACTGCACGATACCAACGAAAAATAGTAAGAGGTCAATTCCATACACTATAAGATAAGAAACCAGGATCTTCCAGTTTTATATAATCATAGACAATAGAAGAAGCTCACCATAATTACTATGGGAAAAGACTTTGAGGCAACTGCCGCATCCCACTTGCCAAAGACGAACAGTTTTGTCAATAGAAGATGACAGAAGATACTGCATTCAGAACAAATTAACACAAAACCAAATTAAACATTCTGCCATGTATCAGTAAATGATAAATATTTTCCAGATTACTAGAAATTTAGCTGCAAAAAAAATAATCACTTACATTACTACTTGACCAAGAGAGATCCAATATATCATCACCATGCCCGTGAAACTCATGCAATGGTTTCTCCAATATCCGGAAGACTTTAGGGGGGAAAATAACACATGCTGAATCCGATGTTTTCCTAAGGCTACTTGACTTGCCTATTTTATCCTTTTCCGAAAATAGTGGATTTAGTTCAGAGAGATGATTCACTGTGAAGTAAATGCAGGATGGATCTATTTTCGGAATGTCATGTTCATTACATCTCTCATCCTCCACTACTTGCCAGACTCGCACAATCCCATCTTCACCACCACTCGCTAAGTATTGTCCATCGGGACTGAATTTCATTGCCAAAATTGCGCCCTCATGTGCCTGGATATCTTGCCCCATGTAAAGAGCTGAAAGTTCCTTCAACCGCTTCCTGCACTGATGAACCTTAACTCTTTGTGCCCTGAACCCCATGATTGCAGCATTGTCATTGTGTGCCAATTCATCATCCTCCCCATGCGTATCAACAAGGCATGTGATTGACCGCAACCTACTCAACCACCCCTTCTTAACTCTCTTCAGTATCCCAGCTCTAGTGTTCGCCTCCTCCATTCGATTCTCCATCAATTGTTGAGACAATGAAGATGAAGAACACGGAGTGCGCTTAGACTCTTCGGTCACTTCTTGACATTCACGTACATTCCGATCCAGCCTCACTTCATCTGCATTACACTCCAAAGGCTTCCCTAAATTCCCATCTCTACATGCAGAATCATCCTTCCAATCCAACTCAACTGAGGAATTGGAATGGTCATTACGCCGACATGACACAAATGACCGACTCAAACAAAACTCATCCTCAAAACATGAGGTGGTTCTCAACACAGCCCCACTACCCTCTCCAACTCTCTCAACCACCCCTGCTACATCACTCGCTATTTCGACTGAATTCTCCCCCAAACTTTGATCCACGCTCAGTCCCATCCACTCCAGAAACTTGGCCCGCCGCTCCTTAACACTTCCCGGGGTTCTATTCCACAAATCATAGGGAAAAGCAGCCGGAACCCAATTAATGAAGGAAGAAGTGGAATCAAATGTCTCAATGGTTTCAGACCCAGCATCGGATGTCGATGCAATTTCCTCTTCTGCATCAAAGAATCCACAATCTTCTTCCTCTCCACTAAAGCT